TGGTTTCCATTTCAAGCCTTGGAGATGATAAGAGTTCTTAATCCGCAGATATTGAAGGACTTCACAATTCCCATGGAAGTCCATTTTGTCATCCCTTGGTTTGGTTATTGTAACAGCGCTATTAATCCAATTCTTTATGTGATATTCTCAGAGAATTATCGCCGCGAATTTAACAGGATTCTCTGCAAAGGGCCAAGCCGAATAGAGCGTTATAGGAACACAACTGTTGCGAGCCGGAGCACGACGCGAATGACGCGCCTGTCTAGAGGAAGTTCCTTAGCTGTTAGCATACCACTCCAGAAACTGAGGGAAGAAGCGAATCATAATAGAGGAAGTCCAGAGACACCCTGAGTCCAAGCTTAACAAGAACAGTCCAACAGAGGATCTGTTCCTTATCTTTCATTGTAACGTAACATGGCAAAGCAACTCTCAAACACTTTTTCTGCTTTCGCTATGGAATCCTAATGCTTTTTATAGTCTTTTCATTTGCTTGGATCGATATTCTTTCGATATGAATACTTAACGCTACGGTTACTTAGATCTGTCGGTTCCAAGAGCATGAGTATAGAAACTCAATCACGAAAGAGTGTGTTTGATTGGCCTAATTCCGGCAGAATAAAAATATATTCCTGAATATTCCAGGGCAGCTGTTGCGTCCGAACGTCTTGGTTACCTTTTTGAAGCAATTCTTCTACTTTTTGTTGAAGGAAAGGAGAAGGAGTGCATCTTTCGTACCGTTTCCGAATACGCGAGTGTGGTCAATTGCGAAGTAACCAGTTTTCTTCGCGACGCCGCGCAAAGTAACGCTGTTACAGCGAGTATTCTACTTCCTATAGTAGAATGCGTGAGATACAATCCGAGCATTCTGGAATAGGATCAATCGAACGGATACTCGAGCAGTGTAATTATTATTTCAGGATATGGTAAAACACGCGCACCATTAAACCCAGATACGCGGCAGTTCAAAATGGTGATAACAGACTGATAAACAATTGAGCCTGTTACGTTTTTCCAAGGTGTCTCTGATTAGACGTGTCCTGGAGGGTGGTGATCACAACTGCTAAAGCTTGATATCCTTTTGAGCGATTAACATATCTTGTAGGTTAAGTGGTGAACGCTTTCAGTTGGTACAAAGCTCTTTGTTTCCTTTCGGGAAAAATTACGTCTTGCTGCTTGCTTAAACTTTCCTAGACTCCCAAGTGCACAAAGATGGAGTCCAGAAATGTTTGGCGTTGGCATCAATTCGAGGCCGTGCATTTTGTTCAGTCAATTTCTAATTAATGATCTGCATGATCTTGAGGCCTGTTTTCAGAAGAGATAGGACTAAATAAGTGTGGCAAGAGAGGTCGTGCTATTAAGTTCTGTACAGTAAAGCTGTAGTAAAGAAGAACACATCTTACGAGTACGTTTGTGTAGAAGATGGTCAGGAGAGTTAAAAGTTGTAATGTTTCTCTGTTAAAATTGCCATTGCTATAAGGCTATTGTTACAAGTATTGCTCTTCAGAAAGGACAATCAAACACTTTGAATAATGTTTGGGAATCACTTTGGGCGATGTTCGAAAAGTTCTTTTCTCGTCTAGGGAAACACTGTACATCTATAACTAAATCAACGTTCCTCTCGGAGCATTAGGACAGACAACTGACGGAACTTACAAATGCCACCATAGACGGGCGGAAAAAAAAAGTGTTAAGAACTTTTCCAATCATAAATTGTGACAATAGCTCACTAGCTAAATAGCTCACTCTATAATATCTTAAAGAAAAGTCAATTTAAAATTGTGAAATTATATGTAAATAGGAAGTAGACAATGATATAGCTTTAGCAATACCAGTTGTGAAGTATAGACTCAATTTTATCTTTTTCATCCAGGTCTAATAAACTGTGTGTTGAACGTGTCTGTCATTCGTAGTCTGAAACTTTTTCCAAGTAGCTTGTGTTGCCACTGACTAATAATCGCCTATAAATCTTTGGATCTTCCTCGGAAGTCTTCGACAATCTTCAATTATCTTTGGCAATCTTCGGAAAATGTTCGACAACGTTGGAGAATCTTCGGAAATCTCCGGAAAGTGGTCGGAAGTCTTCAGAAAATCGTCAAAACTGTCGTTATTAGTATTTTTATATAATAATACATGGTTGCTTGTAGATATGATTTGAATTTCTCTTCTCGTGTCCAACCTTATATCTCACCCAATCGTTGCCCTAACTTGTGAGATATCGAGTTGAACAGCCGAGGAGAAATTCCATATATACACGCGCCCACGAATTTTGTTTTTAGACTCGTTCGCAATACTGCACCTCACTGCCCGTCTCACTCCCTGTCTGGCCCTGAAAACTTGCAGGGCTTTCTTGAAATAGGTTCTCTAGTAACGTCTCTGTCTGAATATCTTTGAAGACCTTGGAATGGCCTGACTGACATTTTCAAGGCTGGATTTAATTTCTCGAGCCTTGGAATTCGCGAGAATCGTGCAAACTTGACCGGTAAAATCAGGAAAATTTTCCCCGCAGTCATCAAGCCAAAAACTGAAACAAAGCGCAAATCGTTCTGCCCAAAAATTAGATGTTTTAGCTGATAACGTGTAGAAAATTGTAACTTTGCATAACTTCCGAAAAAGAGGACAACTTCGTGAGGTATCCCCAAATTTTCGAACATTTTTGCTTGGAAATTTCCGTTCCATTTGAATGTCGGTATAAACCTCACCCTTGTCTGGATTCCGCACAATCATTATTTTCATAAATAAATCGCAACCTTTCGTTATTTTTGGCTTAAAATAAATTCAAATCAACATTCGCGGTAACAAGAGCCCGTCGATGTCTCGAAGACCTGCGCCCGCGGGTATTTTTCCCTGAAGTCGTTGACTGACAACTTTTGGCGTGGTGTTAAGGTAAGGCGTATGTGAAGGGGGGTGGGAAGGGGGAGGGGGCATCTTCGGCTCCATTTTAAGTCTAAAATGCCATCTGGTAACTTTCAAGGTGTAAAAGCTTTATAACGAGGAATCAACATCACTCTTGTATGGGTGTAAAAGAGAAAAAAGATTTAGGACAATGGAAGGGAAGTGTAACAGGCTCACAAAATAGCATTCATGTATAAGGTTTATTTTTCTTCGTCTAATTTACTAAGTTATCACACAAACCCGCTAAGATATGAGTGTCTAAATGCTCACTTCCGACTTCAGAAATCCCAGACCGGTCCAGAAATAACTGATCCTGTGGCGCAAATTGGCCTCTCGAAGCCATCTTTACAAGCATTTTCACCCTCTGCGAAAACATCCAGGCAACTTTGACACTTCCGTGCTATTTACTAGTTCTGTTCTCTGTGTCGAAATAACTGACTTGAGAAAATAACAAATAAAAAATACATGTCAAAATCGAACACGGTGTAGTTCATCTGTAAGCTATGGCAATTTAAATAAGGCCATCCCAGATAAACTACAGTAAACAAAACTAAACAAAACAAAACAAAACAAAACAAACGAAACGAAATAGTGCGAACTAAAGTAAACTGAACTAAAGTAAACTAAACTAAACTAAACTAAATTAAACGGAGCTTAACTAAACTGAACTGAACTAAACTGGGCTAGACTACATGAAACTAAACTAAACGATACGAAACGAACGATATGAACTAAACTAAACTAAACCAAACTTAACTTAGCTAAATTATAAAATAAACGAGAAGAAACTTAACTATAATAAATGCTATAATTTACAGTAGAGGCATTTCAACCACAATGAAAATGAAAGCTAGAATTACATCTACAAAAGATCAAGACCTTTATTGACAATCGCTTGTCCCTGTTGGTTAGATTTTGCTTTTAGCTCTTTGAGTGGTATATGTGCTGCCATCGACAACCCCAGCGATAGGGGCGTAGTCTGAGTTGCTCCCAAGCTCTTGATGATCATATTTCTGTGACGATCCCTTCGGCTTGGCCCTCTACAGAGAATCCGATAAAACTGGCGGCGATAATTCTCTGAGAATATCACATAAAGAATTGGATTAATAGCGCTGTTACAATAACCAAACCACGGGATTACAAAATGAACTTCCACGGGAATTGTGAAGTCCTTCAATATCTGCGGATTAAGAACTCTTATCATCTCCAAGGCTTGAAATGGAAACCAGGAAAGAGTGAAAATAACAAGTACTGTTATCAACATGGCAGTCGCGCGTCTACTTGAGGCTTGAGCTCTCCTTCGTGCAGTTGAATTACCACGTCCAGGGAGTTTTCTTCTCCAAAGACGTAATCCCGCCAGGCAGTAAACTGCAGTAACAACGGTCAGTGGAATGATGTAGGCAGTTGTAAATAAAAATGTATTGTAGGTTGTTTGTGACATCGGCGGCCAGTTCTCTCTGCAGCTAAAATACTCCATCCCCCCCAGCTGTGTATTCTTGACCGCTATCATGAGTGGAACAGTTAACGCCAGCGCACCTAGCCACGTCATGGCGATCGCCAAGCGCACAACTTTTCGAGTCATTATCTTCTTCATTGGAAATAGGATGCCGAAAGAGCGATCCAGTGAGATCGCTACTAAACTAAAGACTGAAGAGGCTAGGGATCCCACCTGTGCAGCGTGGAAGAACTTGCATAACACAGTGCCCATGAACGTGCCAAACCACTTGTCCCACACGTAGACCCATTTGAGTATGTAGGGAATATCTATGGTCATGAGAAGATCAGCAAAGGCCATGTTGGCGATGAGAGTGTTTGTTGAGCTGCGCATGTGGTTTACTGTGAACACGATGTAAATCACCAGAGTATTACCGAT